GTTAATAAAATTCTAAGATTCTGATAATCAAGGTTTTTGATTATAAAGAGGATATTAGAATATATACTATTGTATTTTATACTATATACTATATACTATATTCTAGTATTATATTCTCACTAGTATTAATATTAGTCTTAGTATATATTATAGCTAGTTTATTAATATAACTGTAATATAGAGTATATACAATAATACTATATAGTTACACTCCTAACAATTATACTCAACAAGTTAATAGATAGATAGATTTTGACGACACTTGCTATTTTACTATTACTGTCATTAGTCAGGAACTTGTATTGTTTTCTATGTTCACTCCATCCCATGATCATAATTACCATCAACATCCACATTATAACACCACAATCACAATCACACATAAAAAACAAGCTATGCTAGCAAACCAGCCAACGGCCATATAATTCACTCATATGCTATGTATGTGTGTTAACACTACTGCTCGATCGTGATCGCTGGCCCATCCATCCATGACCCCAACCCTCTAGACATCCGTCTAGTACCAGGGAGAAACCATCCAACGCCATCCAGCCAATAGCTTGGAGAAAAATAGCAAAAAAACTATGCACGCATGCCAATCATGAAATCCGCTTCACAAATCCCAATCCGCAGGGTATCAAATGTCGTAACAGAACAATAACACTCCAGGAAACTCCTCCCGTAAACAGGATACTAGACTGTCTTACATACCAATGCGAGCAAGCTAGCAAAGGTATAGACTATCGCAAGAGTTTTTGATTCGGGGAATGTACGATTATGTCGAGACCAGATTGAGATCGAAATTTATTTTCCCATCGAAGGAGATGAGACACGAAAAGAGTTGGGAAAGAGCGAAACCCTGCCGTAAACAGCATGCTAGACCGTCTATAATAGACTATCAAAAGTAACATATGCCCATCCAAACACCACGAGAATCATCGAGAGTGTATAGTCATGACGAAGATGATGAATAAAAAGGATTTAACCACCGAAACCGTAGAGGGTACGGCCTTGTCTCTTCAATGCGTAGACGACATCGAGGGAAGTGACTGTCTTGCGCTTGGCGTGTTCGGTGTAGGTGACGGCATCACGGATGACACCTTCGAGGAAGGTCTTCAGAACACCACGAGTTTCTTCGTAGATCACTGTGATGAAACGCGTTAGTTGATAAAACTTTAGAAGATAATATTGGATATCAAGGAATAGATTAAAACTTACTGGCAGAGATACGCTTGACACCACCACGACGAGCGAGACGTCTAATAGCTGGCTTGGTAATACCTTGGATGTTGTCTCTCAAGATCTTACGGTGACGCTTAGCACCACCCTTTCCGAGACCCTTTCCGCCCTTTCCGCCTATAGAATAATATCATTAGCACACATACACACATTGAAGCAACCAAAGATAATTGTAGATCGGGTACGAAAGTATATCGACATGATAAAGATGTGGATACCTTATCGCGTTGATAGGTGAATGGAGGAAGGAAAACGCTCCAGACCCAAATATCGCGACCGAACAGAAGGCGACAATAACAATTATCTCAACCTCAACCTCTCAAAACAACAAGAAAAGGTAATAACTTACGTCCAGTCATGATGAAGTAGGTATTAAAGTATGTAGATGTTGATTTTTGATGATTAAAGACGTCTTAAGACGATGTATTGATGTAGAATGGTAAGATGGTTGATAATAAAATAGAAGGGAGGGTGAAATTGAGATTTAAATTGGAGAGAGGGAATTGGTTTCTTTTTGATGGAGAATTAAGTGATTTGAAAAAGGGTTTGACGCTAGTACGTTTTTGGAAATCAATGGAAAGGAAGGTGGTAGATCATGAAATGGGTGATGGGTGATTGTGATTGCCGAGAATAATAATGGGTTGAAATGTTAACTGCTTTGCCTTTACTTCTCCTGGTTTCCAGGGGTGGAGAGATAAGCGAGTACTGAGAGCGCGATATTGTTATATACGCGCTTCTTCATGATCGATCATCAGTAGAAGAAATGATCGGTACTGTAACTAATTTGATTGTCTTTAACCTCCTTCCTAATATATCTTGAAGGTATAGTTATCAAGTTATATCTCAAGGTAAGTACGATAACAGTGGTCGTTATGGAAACTACCATCGTATAGTATAGTATCACAGTAGATATACATTCAAGATAACCACATTGTATTACAGTAGTATCTGGGTGGATTATGAGATGCTTCTTCAATCACCACAAGATATTACCACAATGTAGCATCGTAATAGTTATTCGGTTTAAAGATTATATTATGTCTGTATCTATTTCTGTAACCTTCTGGGTATCTTCGTAGAACCATCCCGTCAGCCCAATTTCTTATGACTTCATGTATGGACTTGGAGAGATGACTGTCTGAGTTTCCAAGTAAAAGTATGTTGCCGACCATCATCTCCGATAAAGAGAATTCGAATGGGCGCCATTGTGACTGTCTAAAATGTGTCGAGGCGGTTGCCGTATGAGAAGGGGGCTTGAGAGAGAATAAAATCCTCTTGCCTAAAGGATGTAAAATATCCTCCAGATGGCCAGACCCTGAACCATTAACACTCAAGAAGAAAACTCCCCGGTCGTGAGCTTCAATGAGTGAGCGCTCTGAGGGATATTTGCAGGCATACGGCAGTGTCGATAGCTTCCATGATATGCCACCAACCATTGGCCACAATGTCATCTTCCAAACGATGGAAGAAAGTCTTCGAGACTTCAGTCTCGGTTTGTACCAATAATCCATAACCGATTCTTCCTGCTTGATATACACTCGGGTCGATAAATTATGATTCTTCCTCCATATTCTATCCTCTTGCCACTGCTCACAAATATTTCTTCCCGGCAGCCGCGACTCGTCCTTTAAACACCGGACTCGTAACAGGTTGGTTGACTTGATAGAAGGGGCTCATGATCGTCTTTACCCAATTCTCATAAACTTCCGTGAAGAATTGTTTAATCGCCTCTTCTGTTTGAGGTGAGGTAGGATTTGCGCCGATCGATGTACTCGTTCGCGAAGTCGTTGGATTAGCAGGTTGCGAAGGAGAATGCAGAAGCATAAACTTGACATCTGTACGTACGATTAGCACAATCCCACTCGCGGTAAAGAAAAGACATCCAACTTACTGCCACCCGTCATGAAGCATGATACATAGTTGTTATAAAAACGATCAATGCATCTCAAGTACCTATACACAATCAGCAATTACTCACATCCAATTCGAAATAAATCCATACATCTGTCCACCACCCCATTGCACCTCTTCCACAATGTCCAAACTACTGTGAACAATGAACTGATTCATATGCCTTGCCTGTTCTGGAAATCTCGCAATCCCATCACCACCTTGTTTCGCAGTACCAAACTCATATTCGAAGAGAGGATTATCTTGCGTCCCGACTATTGCGAAATAATACGACATTTTTGCGACGGGTAACTTGGAGTTGATAATTCGGGGTTTGGAGAGTTGAGGTTAGGAAGCGAACGCTGATTGGTTCGTGATATTTATGTCTTGGCGCGGAGCGGAGGGGCCGACTCTTGGATTTTTGAAGAGGATGAAGGTGCGACGCTGAAAGAAGAACATTGAACTATCAACACAATGTTTGGAGCTTTTAGACCTACGAATGTTTTGTCTGGGGGTCTTCTTTGGTGTGTTATTGTCTATTCAGTTGCTGCGATTTTATTACTGGGAATGTGCTAATGGGTGGTGTGATTATAGGAAGATCCCATGGCGACTCTCCAAATTTCAAAAGGCTCGACAGCGCAAACGTTTAAGAGCGGTCGACACGGTGGTTGCTACTGTGGATAAAGCTTTGGCGGCTCAGGGTATTACGACGAAGGCTGTGGAGAGGTGGAAGGAAGAAATGCCTACAGAGCAGGAGATGTTACCAAGAGACAAATACACAATGTTTGATCGGAAAGAGAAGAAATATAGAAAGGGAATCCACAGTAAGGAATGCGCCATGGTAGGAAGACCGTGTTACTGATATCATTGCAGAGCTACCAAAATGGACGAGATTATCACAAAGACTCAACCCTCCCGGTTATTGATATGTTTGGATGGGCTCAATGAAAAGGTTTCTCTCCGGAAGACTTGATGTACAATATGCATTGATGGCGTTTGGGATATGTGTATACGAAAAGATATGAAAGGGCTTTAGATTCAATGCTCTGGAATGACTAGAACCTACGATGCAGATGCAGGCTCACCATATTGATATCAATGGATCCCCGCAGCAATTTTCCTCATACGCCGTCCCGAGTGCTTCAAAATATCGTACAGTCGTTCGTCCGTAGTCTATCTACCTTTGCCATACTCTTCTTCTTCTTTCTGTCTCTCGACTTGAATAGCTCTACCAAGACCCCCTCTACCCTCATCGTATTCCTCACGGTACTCGTCGCGCACTTGGCCGCCAGACTTTCCACGTCCATATTGTCTGCCCTCTCGAAATCCAGGATCCAAATCGGTTCTAATAATACGCTCATCGAGCTTGGTTCCTCCAATATACTTCATGCAATCGAGTGCATCTTGGTGAGTATAGTACTCCACGAAACAAAACCCACAAGGTGTCTTATTGAACCTGTCCAATCCCATGATCAATCTCTTTATCTCACCACATTTCGCAAATAATTCGTGGATTTGTTCTTCAGTTGTGTAAAAGGACCTGTGGCCAAAATTAACTTGTCAATCTACACGGCCGAACCATTGACTGAAAACATTAAATGCTGTTTAACTCACAAATTTCCCACGTAAAGCGTTGTTGCATCTTTCAAAGGATCATCTTCTGGCTCCTCTGGAGTACGTTCTCTTCTGTCATCTTCGCCATCTCTCTCATATCTGCGTTTCTTATTCTAATAAACCCTCTGTTAGTTAAGCTCGGCGCCGAGTTTGAAGTGTGATCTGCCAACTTACTCTACCTTGGTAATAGGCACTAGGCTTGTCAAGTCTATCGACAGTATTTCTAATTGAGCCTGGCATCTTCTAGAAATTTAAATTGTTTGACACAATCTTTCTTTACAAGGCTGATGTTTTTCTTTGTTTCCTGGGGAACATTCACAACACAGAAGCATAGAAGGCTTCCAATTTCCAATTACATACCTACCTTACCACCGGTAGGTTTCGCGACGCGCTAGCATAGCCTGATATCAAATCCCCCCATCCCCAATCTCAAAAAATGTTCCAAGACTCAACTTACATCCATTTGTCGCAACATAATAATAAGAACTTTTCCCTTTACGAATTGAGGTAAAGGTAATTGAAAAATGCCTGAAGTTCTTGGTTATACGCCTACCTGGCTCTCGAAACCCAATCCCGGCCACGAGATATTTACAGCAGGACCAACGAGCAACCAAACAGCTTCGAGAACTAGTTACAATTCGAACGATGGAAAATCGAATAAATCAGGACCTCGCAGAACTATTGCGCGTAGAGGAAGGGAAGTATTTATTGCTGTTGGAAAAGAAATTCGATGGGCGGATCTTGTTTACTTGAAGGAGACATGGGAAACCAAGCAGGATGATCAGAGAAGCTTTATGAAAGGCAAATCACGACTGGAAGAGGAAGTTGAAGGCGAAGAGGGTGTTGCTCAGGGCTATAGAGTAAGTTGTGAAGCTTCTATTATCATTTATACATGCTCATATATAAAAGACACTCAAGATCCCAGTGGCAGATGAAATTCGACAGTTGATCATCTCTCCAAATTCGAATTTTATGGCGATTCTGACAACTCATACTGTACACATTGCTATATTACCCGAGCCATCGCATCTTACAGTTCTCGAGTCTGGTCCTATAAAAATTAAGACTTTTCACCTTGGTCCAACAACACACGTTACATCACGAAGTGGAATATCAACTGCACTATGGCATCCGTTAGGCGTCAATGGAACATGTTTGGTAACTGTTACAAAGGATGCCGTTGTGCGAATGTGGGAACTATCTACAACTGATCGTTGGTCTTTTGATAAACCAACCCTTGCGGTTGATTTGAAGAAATTGGTTGATGGAGTGTCGGCTGATCAGGATTTTGGAGCTTCGATGGCTGCTCAATCGAGTAAATTCTCTCCAGATGCGTTTGAGATGGAAGTAGCATCAGCTTGTTTTGCAGGGAGAGGATCTGGAGGATGGTCGCCCATGACACTTTGGATTGCAATGAAGGAAGGAGACGTATATGCTCTTTGCCCATTTTTGCCTGAGAAATGGTCTCCACCACCCACCCTGATTCCTTCGCTCTCAATTTCAATTGTATCTAATATTGCCGCTATTGAAGATGATCCAAACGTAACTCAGGGTACTAAACTTCTGGCGCAGCAACAGTTGGATTGGATGTCAGATATCGACAATCAAGATCCAACCCAGGTCCAGGGATCTTTGGGTGAGCCACCGGTCGAGGTATACACCAGGCCTTCAAGACCTGGAAAGGTGCCAAGATTACAAGGTCCATTCGACTTTGAGATGCCTCCCGAAGATGGGTACGACGAAACTTACAGTGACATCTATGTGATCGGACCCAGGATCGATGCCGAAGAACTTATGGATGGAGAGGATGACGAGATTGAATTGGATGAAATCGACAAAGAGGGATGTTCTATGAGCGTGATATGTCTGCTTACACACAATGGACGCCTCTCGATATACTTGGACCTGACCGGAATTGAGGCTCAATGGTTACCGAGATCTAACTCGAAGATGTTACGATTCTTGGACGACCCTAACCCACCTGCCTTGTTGACATACGAAGTCTTAGAAACTTCCAAATCCAACGAGATCTGGGAAGGTTGTTGGCCTGTCTTCAGTCACGATGTTGAATCGAGGTATTCATTCTTCATCACTAATCATTCGAACATCACATACATATCACTTTCTTCATGGGTTTTCAGATTAGAGGAAGAATTATGTAATGGCGCAGAGTCTAACGTCAGACTTGGTGTGGTCGTCAGTACCCCGTCTAAAGTACAAAGGGTCTATACACCGTCCATGATTGACCGGAATGCCCCTCTTGCCGCCAGCACGATTATTCTGGATCCTGATCTTGGCTATCTCCTCCTCTCCGCAAATTGCCATGGACCATTATCTATCAGCTTTGAATCACCCGAGTATCAAGTCGATCTCAGCCGTCGCCTTGGTCGCTCGGAATCATATGACTCCGAAACTGATAATGACAAACCTTTGGTGCTATTCGAAGCTCGACCCGTGTATCAACCCTCCTACGCCTTAGAACAACCCTCTGAGTTGCCCTCCTTCCACAAAAAGATCGGTCACAGCAAGTACAAGCGTTTGTTGAAGGAAGAGATTCGATTATCACCTGCAGTACTCACGGTCATGACGGATGCCCATAAAGTTATAAGCGAAGAAACTCATTGCATTGGTACCGCTGCTGCAGAACTGTTCAGAAAATGCATCAAGCTCCAGATTGAGCTTTCAAAACACATCAAACAAGCTAACGATATTGCAAGCCGTGTTAAATCAGTCATCGGTGATGACTATGATGCGGATGATGATAAATCTCAAGTTATGTCAAATGAAATTATTGAGCGAAGGATACAGGTAGCGCAAGATAAACAGAAGATGCTTAATGAACGTATCGAGAATATTAGGAAGAAGATACCCAAAAACACTCGGCGTGAGCTAAGCGACAAAGAAAGAGCGTGGACAGAAGAGGTGAGGAATCTTAGTGGAAAGGTTCTAGGTGAAGATTTGGAAGATTCAACATCGAGTATGGTGAAGGTTTCCAAGGATCCCTGGCAGAGATATGAGGAGGTTAGGGAGCTTAAGGATGATGTATTGAGTCAGGCGAATAATTTGCTAGCTAAAGGGGATGATGAGAGAGACGTGGAGGAGCTAGAGAGAACTGAAGATGGAGGGAGAGGTGTGCATGTCCCGGCTGAGTTGAGGAGGAAGAAAGTCGGTCAAATAATGAAGTTGTTGGATCGGGAGACGGCGTTGGTGGAGGCTACGAAGGGGAGATTGGAGAGGTTGAGTTTAGTTTGAGGTGAGGGGGAGAGTGGGATTTTTGGAGTGGAGAGCGGAGGACAGGGATGAATGATACTTAAAATTGTATGATATGATATCCAGGCCTGGTATGTGCGAATGTTTAGATACTTTTACATCAGTTAGCGAGCGAAGTATTTGTTGAGATGAGTTGAGTTGAGATGCAAGTAGATGTTGATATTGATGTGGATGTGGATGTGGATGTGGATGGGGTTAGATATTAAAATCCAAATGGAGGGCTGGAGGTGTATCAAACAATTTAATCCTATAGAGAGAGGGGGAAGAGAGGGAGAGAGGGAGAGAGAGAGAGATTATTGAAAGAAGGAATTGTTGGTAAGTGTTGGTATCAACAGGAACACCTTTCAGATCTACAATGGTAAAAAGCCTGATAGGTGTTCAATGTTGATATTCTTATAAAACTTGTTGATTACTATTGTTGGTATCACCGTGGTGGTGATGAAGTGTCAATAGTACTATCGTATTTCACGTGTTTATATTGCCTTAAAGAACTAAACTATGGAGATGCTAATACTAAAAGATATATGCTCCGTGGTGGTCAGAGCGTTGTTTATTGCCCTAACCCTTAGCCCTACCGCTCATTACAGCTAAATAAATGATATCCAGACATTGGCAACTATCTAAAAATCGAATGAATTCGTTCTTAATAATCCTCTCCATATCCCATTAGTCCCTTTTTTTAATCTTTTTCAACCCATTTTATAATCTTGATCTTGATAATATTATTTTCGATTAATTAATTCCTTGAATACTTTTCCTATCTTAGATTTTGTTATTGCATTAGTAGGGTTAAATTTCTATCGATTCATTTAATCTTTACAATCTCACATTATTTATATGATTGTCTAAAGGCCATTAAATCGATCATTAATCTCTTTTCCTGGGTTGTGCCTAGTTTAATGAGATAATTATAAAATGACTTAGAATCAGTATAGATAATAAAAGGGATTCGTTTCTTTATAAAAACGTTACTTATTGTATTTCTAATTACTATATTAAAATCGAATTCAAGTGTTATTCTATAAAATTCTGAAACCAAAACATTTCATATAATTTTTTTATATTTAATAGATAACCAATAAATAATA